ATTCCCATTTTTCCCCACTTGAAGGTCCTCACCTTTAATTCAAATAGCTGGCTCATAGACCCATGTAAACTGCTTCCCTTGTTCTTCCCACTGAAAATTCCATCTCACTACTTTTTTGTTTTGTTTTATTTTGAGAGGGTGATAAAATATTGAGTAGATACAAAAGAATGAAGTATCTATAGGTTAAAAAGAATAATAAAACACACATCTATATCTCCTCCATCTAGCAAAAAAGACAAAACACTATCCTTATTTCAAAAACTCCTTAGACATACCTCACTCCTTTTATACCTTTGATACTCAAGTCTCACCTCCTTGGTGTGGCCCTCCCAAATATCGCAAGCCAACACTGATGGTGCATGTAGCTTATTATCAGACACAAACTTTAATGATGGTTTGGAAATTTAGAAATTAGAAATTAGGTTTAGATACTCAGTGCATAAGTTGAACTATATCTAAACCACCTCTCAAAATATGCAGCCTCATATATAACTCTTTGCCTGTAATATTCTGCATCCCAAATATACCTGTCCATAATCTTGAGCTCTTTTTCAACCAAGAGAGAAGAGAATTTCAGTTGCCTTCTGTGAAGTTCATTTTCCACACTTACTGAATCTTTTCAGACATTTGGAAGATGGGTGCTCCTGACGTTAACATGCTACCATCATTGGTGGTTAAAATCTATGAAAACACCTACAAAGGCAATTAGGTCAACTTCATAATTTAAAGTAAGGCCAAAGATGACTTCCTATTAAACTATCTGAGTTAGTGAAATGGGAATCTAAATGTTTCCTCCATCTTCCTTGCCCCAAAATGATATTTCAATGGCTTTTTATAAACACATGATGGTGCTTGAGGTTCAAAGAGACTATTGTAGAGGAAAAAGCCTTGGGCTAATAGCTAGGAGTACTGAGGTCTTGTTCTAATTCCATTTTGAATTCTCTCTGAAGAATCAAGAAATAACTCTTCTCTTGTCTTCAGTTTTTTCATCTGTAATTTCTGAGATGTCTTTGTCTCTATCATTCTAAATTCATGGGTCATTACCAACATCAACAGGTAACAATGTCAAGTCTTACACCTCCGTGCTCATCCCCTTCGTTTGAATCTCTGCCTCATGAAAAATGCCCTTCTATTCTGAGTGCTAAATATTATTAACCAAAGAAATGATTCTTGACACTCTGAGAGGCATCAGAATCTAGGTCTGGAGATCTTCTATGGCCTCACCATGATCCAGCTGGTGTTCTGAAGCTCAGACGATGAGGAAATGCTGAAAAGGAGGAGAGCAAAACCGTTCCCGAGAATTGCCATGCAAACAACTTCAGCAGGAGAGGCCATTAGGGGGAGATTAAGCCTGATTTCGTTATTACCAAGGAGAAATGGCACCGTTGGTGCCAACTTTAGTTGTTTCTGTGGTCTAAAACAGTTTAACTCGGAGGAAGTTGCCAACACAGTTCACACACCTTATTTTGATAAGCAAGAGGTCTCTGTAATTACCCTACTCTTTTAGCCAAATATTTTCTTCTTTTCGTCTCTGGAAAATACCCTTGGCCACTCCTGGGCCAACCCTATCACAGTTCACCTGCACCAGCCTTCCTGCAGATCAGTGCCTCCTCTTCATGGACTTTTCCCCTCTACGCACTTCCATCTGATGCATCCTTGGGACCTTGTTCCATCAGAATCTGGACCAACTACTGTATTTCACTCTTCAACTTCTGAAATATAGTAAAAAAAAAAATATGGATCTCTTCACATATCTTCGGAATAAAATCACTCTGTCTTTCCTCTGCCTTCTTTCCTTTTTTCTCTTTTCCTTCAGTGCTAGGCCCAATCCCCCCAAACCCTGAAATCTAGTAAGGTATTGATATGCACCCAGAAATATATGTTTTTCAAAAGTTCTCCCAGTGATCCTAAAGATGAGCACAATGTAAGGGAACAGTAGTCTAGAACATATATGAGAATCTAGGAAGAAACTAAAATAACCCCAATAGCCAAAATAAATTTCAAAATGTTTAGTCATGATGTACCTTCTCATGGAAGGTGATCTTTTCTCATCTAGAGTTTATTTCACTTTTCATTTGGGCACATTATATAAGGTCATTGCCCAATTTCCCACAGCAAATTCAAAACCATAAATGAAAAGCATGTGTAAAATTTTACTAAAAACAGATACGACCATTGCACAAAAAAGTGACAGTTAATGACTCCCTCCAAAGGAGAGGTGAAGCAGAAATAAGAGTAGTTAGAAAGGAAATGTTTTGTCTCCCGACAGCTGCTATTCCTTTCCTAGTCTTTCCAACAAAGGAGACTTTTGGGGTTTGTTTGTTCTTTTTGGGGGTTCCAGACTTCTAGATAGGTAATAGGAATTCTGTCTCTATCACCTCAATTTCCTTCTATGAAGATTTACGTTCAGAAAAAAGAGAAAGATAGATCCTACTTAGGCCACAAGCCTAAATTTCAGGATCCAAAGATTTCTATCAGACCTGGCCACACAGCTATTAAAACCTGGTACTCTGATGGCCACCATTCTCTTTCTGGGTACTTAGTAACTTTAATCTCCACATTGGCAAAGGAGGGGGTTCCTAGAGGTAATTTGCTGGTGTAGACTTCTTATATACTATCTAATGTCACTTAAATCTCTACAGTGTCAGTCTCTAAATATGACTGCCAGAAATCCTCTATTTTTTTTATAAAGCATATCACTTCTCACACTAAGAATTGGAGATCGCCCTCTTTCTCGTTAAACTTGTGATGGCATTGGGAATTGCTTTGCCTGGCAGAATGTGGCAGAAGTATTGTTCTGGAATGCTTGACCCCAGAGGGCTTAAGAGGACTGGCAGCGTTTGTGTCTTTACTTTTAGAGTTCACCCACCATGCTGTTAAGAAGTACAAAAATGAGAGAGGCTCTGGAGGAGGTTGTGCCATTGTGGATGTCCCAGCCATAGCCAAGCTCTCAACCAAAAGCAACAGCAAGAATGATCCCATTCATCATTATGTGATGTAAAATAATTGCCCAGTTGAGCAATATAATAAATTGTGGTTTTAAGCTACTAAGTTTGAGGTCATTCATTATGCAGCAGTGGATAACTACAATATTTTCCCCCTGTCCCAATGAAAACCTCACAGAGTACAGCAGTTTAGATATTGCTTGGGGTAGGAAAAACAGAGAAAACCCGTGTTACAGCAGAGTGTACTGATATTAGTAATAATGACCTTTATTGATAATGATTGATTAATAATGATCACAGCCATTGTGATAACTTCAATGGTGCTTAAGGAAAGAGGAATATCTGTCTAAGCTTGCATGATCTATTTTAGAAATAATCCCACTTGTTACATTTTTTGAAGATTAATACAGCAACTTTAAGAATGAGTATCAGGAATCTAGAACATTTGCTTATGTGAGAAGCTTCATTCCTGAGGAAGTTAGACAAATGATTTGTGGTTAGAAGAATTCTCTTGTCTTGAGATCAAAAGAGCCTGAACAAGCTGAGATGAATGTAGGACATGTAGAAGATGTGAGAGACATTTGAAAGACATCTCAAGGGTAAGGGATGAAAGGTGGGAAATTGATCCCTAGAAAAACTCCAACAGCCTACTGTGCGTCCCAACATTGTCATTGAACATACTTTTAGAATAGACCTCACAGACGAGGGCTGGATCTTAGCCATACCACCACCATTTATCCCCTGTAAGCTTCGGCTGAATTACTTAATCTCTCTTGAACACTAAAGAGCAAGTCTGAGTACCACTGATTCTTCTTGCAGACAGACTCTAGAGATTTCTGTTTGAGTGAAGAACATCATATCTCCCTTGTAGAACTGGAACTGCTGAGCCAGTGTGACTCCCTCAGGGTCATGGGTCCATTCATGTGAGGGTGGCTGACGTTTCCTGGTATATTAGTTTCCTAGGCCTGCTGTAGCAGAGTGCCACAAACTGGGTGGTTTAAACAATAGAAATTTGTTTTCTCACAATTCTGGAGGCCAGAAGTCTGAGATTAAGATGTCACAGGGTTGGTTCCTTCTGGGGGCTCTGAGGGAGAATCTGTTTCATGCCTCCCCCTACTTTCCAGAGGTTCGTTGATAATCTTTGGTATTCCTTGGCTTCTTGTCACATCACCTTAACCTCTACCTTCATCTTTACATGATGTTTTTTCTATGTGCATGTTTCTGTGCCCAAATTCCCCTTTTTTATAAGGACCCCAGTCACACTGATTTAGGGCTTACCTTAAGAACCTCATTTTAACTTGATTACTTCTGTGAAAGACCTTATCTCCAAATAAGGTCACATTCTGAGGTGCCAGGAGTCAAGACTTCAATATATCTTTTGGGGGGGGACCCAATTCAAGCTTAAATACCTGGGTTAGTTGGGAGTAGCTATGCTTGAGCATCCTTGGAAACAGCAAACCCCACAGATGCTTGTCCTGATGTCTCCCAGAGATTGACTCAAGGTCCTTATTCCATCTTAGCCTGCAACTTCTAGAGAAAGTGTCCCAGCAGTTATCCTGAGAGCAGTTATCCTGACAGCCCTAGCTGGCCTAAACTCCTGCTATGCCTCACTCCACCTGATGCCCCACATCTACCACCACCCCTGCGACTCGCCCTCATCCTGTCACTCACTCAACAGGCATCTCCCTGGATGCTGACTCCCCAGACTCACTGCCAAACCCTAGCCCTCTCCACTATTTTTTTTTTAATTTAAGGTAGTCATTTTTTTTTTTTAAGTTCTTCTTTCCTAAGTGGGAAATGACACCATATTTGAATGACAAATGTGTCTATCCCTTGCTCAGGAACTTCAAAGGAAAAAACCCAATCCCCTTAAAGCAGGCTGGAATAGCCACTTAACGATTCAATGACTGTCCTAGTGTACATGCCTCCTTTCTAGTTAATTCTTTTATATTAACAACTGCTTTGGGCGCCATAAATTATATACCTGTTTTGACTAAAAGGAGTTGCGTGACAAGTGGTAGGGCTTATCAAAATCGAGTCAACATTACAGGTCCTGTCAGCATGATAGACGGAGAGGCAAGGTATAATCCCGATGACTCCCTGATGAAACATATACAGAGGCTTAACCTAATCCCTGAAGGAATGACAAGGAAAGCAAGGTAAGAGACCAATTAGCCTCTTTCCATATATCCTAAACTTATTGGTTGGCTATTTTCATTTCTTCCACTCCCTGACTCACCAAGTAGGAGCCAGGAGGCGACAAAAGCCAATGCTTTCTCAGCAGAGCCATCTATTGGATGCTTTCTGGTGGAAGATCTACCTGCCTTTGATTGGACTAAAAAGCTGTGTCATATTTGCCCACAGCCTTTCTTTACTTTTAGAGAGTTGTAAAAGGCAGCACATTTGTCCCTCTTTTTTTTTCCTAAATGGGGGTAAGTAGGCACTTGGGAGAAGCAGCATTTTTCTAAAATGCCATCCATCAGTTTCTGAGTTCCCCCTTTGTGTTCACCCCTTGTTAGTCACTGCAGAAGATATGAGGGGAAGAGAAGCAATATTCCATGGCCTATCAGAGTCTAGTATAGGGAAGAAAATAAAACTCTACTGTAGGAAGAGAACATCTTAATGATTCTGCTATTTTTCATATGTGATGAAATTGCGTCTTCCTTTTAGTAGGACAAGGACTGTCTTTCCAGGTTTTATTTAGCTCTGGGGTTGGGGATGCACTGGGAATCCCTTCCATAGACTCATTCATTTAGCATCCTTTGTAACCAATGGCATCTAGTTGAAGAGATACTCATCAGGGCTCACAGTAGCACCTGCGGTAATATTTAGGGGCTGAGGCCAGGAATGAAGACGTGTATGGCTTGAATTATACAGTTATGCTGTAAGGAGACTGTGTCCGCAATGGGGACTTGACTAAAGGTCAATGTGAATGAAGCTGGGAAGACATCATGAGTAGGGTGAGGGAGTTAAAAATGTTTCCTTCATGCGAGGGTGATGACCTTTAGAGTGCTCAAATGTACTGCCCTGGCCCCAGCAGCCACTCTTCCTAACAGAATTCTCCACATAACCTGTCCTGAAGGAGCTACTAAAACCACCAGAGGGGCTTCACTCCGGGGACAGAGATCTGTCACTGTCAGCAAGGGCCTCAGCCTCCTGGCAACCTAAGTAACTTCCCTTGACATGGAGCAAGCGCAATTAGGAGGAGAGACCTTGCTCATCACTCTGACAGCTGTTTCCTTTCCGCTCTCTTTGCCCACATACGCCATTTTCCCCCCTAATCGACTTCAATTAAATTTAACTTAACAAGAGATTGATAATAATTATCATTGCTGTAAAGAAAAACAATAATCTTTTCTCTTCCCATAGTGCTTTTTTTTTCTAAACCATTTTCACATACATTAATTAGTTCAGTCTTTATCATCTGCCCTGTGCCCAGCCAGGGGCAAGGCGCTGTGAGGAATGCAAGAAGCAAATCTTCGCACACCCCTGAATGGCTGGTATGCTCCCTCTCATTGTTTTCCCAGGCCATGGTGACCAAAAGCATCAGGCCTGAAGTCACCAGACACAGCTACCAGTCTGGAGGCATGGCTCCTTTCTGGGAGGAGAAAATGGAAATCTGGCACCCTGGCACCCTGAGCCTCCTGCCTTCGCTCCATCACGAAGCGATGATGATCTGCCTGGCTCCCCCATGCTGCTCCAGGCCCCTGAGCTTATGGAGCTGCCACATCTCCTTTCTAGATAACCTCCATGTTTTTGTTTCTAATTTTAACCTCATTCTGACCCTCTACCTGCACTTCCCTATATCTTCTCCAGGTTCCTTTATGTTGCATTTTGGCTCTTGGCTGGGTTTACAACTCCTCCCAGTTTAGCAACATCTGAAAATTTAATTAGCGGGTGGTTGTCTCCCTCTTCCACATAATTAATGAGGATGTTAAAATAAAACTGGATTAAGAATTTATTATGCTATAATTTGCAAATCATTGCCAAAGTTACCAGATAAGCTCTAACAAGGCAGTGGGGAGCAACTTGAGAGGGGTGAGGGTGTCTAAGCCATCATGGTCCTTATCTCTAAGCCAAAGGCAGTATGGCCCAAAGGCAAGAGTTCAGGCTGGGAGTCAGGAGCCAGGGTATTCATTGGGAGCCTGTCACTAGGAGAAACTCCCCTGTGATGAGCCACCTCTGAACCCCAAGGTGCAGGCTGGGGAACACCAAGATAATTTCAGCTCAGTAAACTGAGGAGTTGGGTAGACTCTTATTTGAGGATGCAACACAAGCAGTGATCCATTCAAAAGGGAGGGAAAGAATGGAGAGGGGAAACACGTATTTCTCATTGAATACTGTAATACTAGTAAGTCTTTCTTGAAGACTGAACAAAATAGTATTAAAGTCAAATCATGAAATCACAGGATACACTTACTCCTAAATACCTATTCTTGGCTAGTGATGACAGTCAACTCAAGACAAAAATGGTCAATAATAAGAAAGGAGAATATCTAACATTTAAAAATAATAGGCAATAGAAAGATCCTGCACTTAATTTTATCTCAGACCATTCACAACAAAGCCCATCTTTGCTTTTGTACCTTATGCTGGCCTTGGAATTACTCCTATTCCCCTCGTTCCTTCTGACCTAGCATCTCTCAGCTGAATCTTTTACCTTGATCTTCTCTTCTGTACTTTGACTTCTGTGACCCTATAGCCCTCTCCCAGCTCCTTCATCAGCTTGACTCACTCAATCTCATGTCTTTCCAGCAGTAACCAAACAAGGCCCCTTACCTGATCCCATGTACAGGCCAACCCCACCCATGGCCCCTGTGACATCCCTGGTCCAGGCAGCTCTGTCTTCCATCCTGGAGCTGCCATCTCCTCCTTGCTGGCCATGTGCACCCAGCTGGGAGCAAACCTGGAAACAGGATTAAGTGCAATCATGAAGGACAGGCACAGAATCGATTATTGAAGGAGTTAGTAGTGTAAGCAATCTTAGCTTCATAGAGCAAATATTAAATAGGTAATGCTATAGTATAAATATTTGTGTCCCTTCAAAATTCCTATGTTGGAAACCTAACCCCCAAGGTGAAGATACTTGGAGGTGAAGTCTTGGGGAGGTGATTAAGTCATGAGTGGAGCCCTCCTGAATGGGATTCATGTCCTTATAAAAGAGGGCTGACAGAGTTGCCATGTGAGGATACAAGGAGAAGTCTGCCCTCAATCAACCATGCTGGCACCCTGATCTTGGACTTCCATCCTCTGGAACTGTGAGAAAGAAATTTCTGTTGTTTATAAGCCACCAAGTCGGTGGTATTTTGTCATAGCAGCCCAAACTGACTAAGACAGGTAGTCATACTTGGGGAACTTTTTCAAGAAACTAAATGTTGAAGAATATAATTCATAAATTTGGTTTTAGTCCAAAGCTCTTTTGTTATGTCCAACATATAACAATGTAGGTTAGAACTGGCAAGTCATGCATGACTTGACTGCCTTACTGGCCCAATATGGTAAATTCCAGATGATGTTTGGTATCAGATACATTAATCTCTACATTTGAGCCCTGTGTAATTCTTTACATTAATATATTGGAAAGAGAAAGCCTATTTTGTTAAAAAGAAAGAAAGAATGAAAGAAAGAAAGAAAGAAAGAAAGAAAGAAAGAAAGAAAGAAGAGAGAGAGAGAGAGAGAGAGAGAGAGAAAGAAAGAAAGAAAGAAAGAAAGAAAGAAAGAAAGAAAGAAAGAAAGAAAGAAAGAAAGAGAAAGAAAGAAAAGGAAATAAAAGACAAAGTAGTGACTCATTCAAGAGAATACCTTGAAACGGGTATAATTTATAAAACAAAATACCCTTAATATGACAGCAGTCAATTTAGCCTGATATAAAAGAGGGTCTGTGTTTTCTTTCATTTATATTTTTATGATATGTAATGTCTTTATAATTTCACCACTCCACATCAAAGCCGCCAACCGCTGAGCGCCTAAATAAGTAGCATGTGAAGAAAATGAATGAATTGCTAAATGTCCCATTACGTCCACAGAGAATATGTTTCTATGTGGAGTCAGGAATCTTAAATTGAGACGACAAATGAATGGTTTTCACTCCAATGGAGGGAGAGTTTTGGCAACTTTATTACGTTCAGCATTTGAATGGACTAAGGGGGAAGTATAGAGAGAAATGAAGTTTTAAAAAATAATGTGTTGTTGGTATCTGAGTTCTGGCTCTAAATGTCAGTTCCTCTGTGAGACAGAGTGATGGGGACAGTAGGGGACACAGCACATGCATAAAAAGCTCCAGGGAGCCCAGAGAGGAGGGCCTGTCAGTGGTGTGATTTCTCCAGCACAAAGAAGCTATTTGGAGAATCTTAACAAGTTCCAGTATGTTTGGCCCAACACATTAGGACTGACATCAACAACTGAAAAGCAAAGAATGTGTTGAGCTGGTTAAAGGAAATCACAATAATCAGCAGCTCTTAGGGCACTTAACCATAGACACCCAGGGAGCCCCAAGGCGAGGGAAAAGAAACAGGGCGGTGACTGCTGCACCATCCGGGAGTTCATTGACTTTAAAAATATGCCCAACGTTCCAGAGGAAAATCAGATGAGTGGTATAGTGAAGACAAGACAGCTACTGGCCTGTGCATACCAAATGCACACTGGTCTCAGGGTGTCCACTTTCACAGACCCTTCTTCATTCATTCCTAAAGCCTCAATATCTACAACTTCTTTCTTTCATGCGCCAGATCCCACCTCTCTCCTCTCTTTCTCTCACCATCTGCAAATTTCCATACAGACTTCCTCTCAGCATGGTGATTTGTGCACCCTTAATGATGGAGAGGAAATAGGCTCACTAGTGAGTTGTGGTGGCCTCTGAATCAGGAGGCTAGGCATTTTCAAGGCAAGACATTTAACTTTCTGATCAGGAATTAAACAACCAACTAAGAGCACAGGACCAAAATAGGGCAGATGTACTGTGAGTGTTGTGATCACAGTCACAAGGTGAACAGTTAGTAATCAAGTCAATTATTGATTCCTTGAATGAGGTTGACTTGAATCTTTGTGAATATGTGAGAATATATGTCCCATGTAGAGGCAGTCAGAGCATGGTGGGCAGAGGCGTTCCCTCCTATATCTTTCAGGGTCTATATTTTAAAGAAAGCAGTTAAAACCTAGATAAGAAAACAAAACAAAAAAACAACTGGGTAATTCTATTTCTTATCTAGGTATAAACTGCTTTCATTTACATGGAAGTATTTTCCTCTTTTAATGGGAAAATATTATCTGTACATAGCAAATAGGTATTAAAATTTCAACATAATGTAAATCAGAACATAAACTTTGAAACTTGAATACTGTTCTTTTAAGACAAAAGAATCAATCAATAGGTTGTTCCTCTCTGACCTCAGTTTTCTAATTACAAGAACAAATGGATTGGATTATATAATTCTAAATTCCTCTACAGTCTTAATATTGTATGGTCTTTAATAATACAAATAATAATATCACAACTACACAATAATGGCATATCAACAACAACAATCTTGTCAACAACCATTTGCTAAACGCTTATAAAGCACCAGACAATGTGCTAAGTGGCTTATGTACTTTTACTCCATTTAATCCTTGCAATAACTTTATGAAGAAAGAATTGCTGTTCTCATTTTTATAGATGAAGATAAGTAAGTTTCCCAATATTACATAGTTTGTGGGTGCCAGCATTGGAATTCTAACTCCCACTGAATCTCAAATCCTGTGTTCTTTATTTAAAAACAATTATCAAATATTTTAATTTTACTTAGCATGGTGGGAGTGGAAGACTAACTACAAGAAACTGAGAAGAAGAGCTGCTTTCACTGTTTACAATATCGAAAAGACCCACATAGGAAAGAGAGAACCATACAGTTTGGTATGTGTGTAAGTGCCAGACTGAATAAAGCAGTCAATAAGAACTACAGGATTTTTAAAAAGGGGAAATCATTATTAGTTAGATTCTAGCAACGGGCCTAGTTGGAAAGGGCTTCATGTCATTGGGCTTTCCAAGGAGAAGATACAAGGCAGAAAGGCTAGCAGAGGCTTTTCTAGTGGGAAAAAAGCCCATTAGCAAAAGCAAACACTGAAAGTATTGTGGCATGAATGAAAGATAATGGAAAGATGAGTTTGCTTTATCCTGTTTGGAGGAAACTCATAACACTTGAGATTTGGGGGAAAAAAAGAAAAGAAAAAAAAGTTTATTTATTTTGAAATAGAGAATTCAGAGACAACCAATTCACTATAAGTTATGATTAATTTGTTTACCTTTGCAAGATGTGATCAGCACTTCTGGGCGTACAATATTATGTTTGATTACTACCTTCAAAAGTATAATTGGTGGACCACAGGCATTAGGATCAACCAGGACCCCTTGCTAAAAATTCAGATTAACGAGTTCTCATACAGACCCACTGAATCAGAATCTTTGCAAAATGAGCCCAGGAGTTTGTATGCCCAAATGCTTTTCAAGTGATTAAGATACTTTACTGAAGTACAGCTTTCATGAGATAAAATGCACAGATTTTAGGTATTTATTTTGATGAGTTTTGGCAAACATATACACCCATGTAGCCTTCACCCCAGTTGAGATATACAACATTTCTTGGCCCCAGTTTCTTGTGTTCCTTTGCAGTCAATCCCCAACTGCTCCAGGTAATCACTGATCTGACTTCCAACCTCCATAGATTAATTTTGTCTGTTCCAGAACTTCATATAAATGGGGTCACACAGGGTGTACTTCTTTATACAGGCTTTTTCCTCTCAACATAAAGTCTGTGAGATCAATTTTTGGGCATCAGCAGTTTGTTCATTTTTATTGCTGATTTGCATTTGTTTATCCATAGTCTTCTTGATAGACATTTGAGTGGTTTCCAGGTTCTGACTGTTGTGAATAAAGCCATATGACATAATTATATGTCATTCATAAACAGAGTTTTTATTCCACTTAGATAAATAGTTAGGCATGGGAGTAGTGGGTCATGGGGTAGGTGTATGTCCAGCTTTAAAAGAAGAATAATCAGTTTTCTCAAGTGACTGTCTGTACCATTTAATATTACCACCATCAATGTGTGAAAGTTTCAGTTGTTCCACATCTTCATTTGATATTGTCAAGCTTTGTAATTTCACACATTCAAGGTCAACCTAGTTTTTTATGGTTAGTGCTTTTTTGTGTCCACAAGGTCCAAAGATTTTCAGTACCTTTATTATAATTCAATTCAAAACATTTCCTAATTTCCTTATAATTTCTTCTTCGGGTTATTTAGAAATGTATTCTTTAATTTCCAAATATTTGGAAATTTTCCTGTGCCTCTTATTTTTAAGGATTTTTAATTTAATTCCACCATGATCAGAAGACATATTTTATAAGATTTCAATTTCTTGAAACTTATGAGATGCATTTTATGGATCAGTATATGGTCTAGCTTGATGAATGCTCCATGTGCACTTGAAAATAATATTATTCTGCAATTGTTGGGTGTGGTGATCTGTTAATGTCAATTAAGTCAAGTTGGTTTTAATGTTGTTTAAATTCTGCATATCCTAAATGAATTTCTGCTTATTTACTCTATTAACTACAAGAAGGAGGTATTAATGGTTCATTGCATTAAACCTGTTTACACTTAGATTATGACTTGTAGACAGCATATATGTTATTTTTATAACCAATCTGACAATTTCTGCCTTTTGAGTTTTAGTTTATTTGCATTTAACAATTATTTATATGCTTAAGTTTAAATCTATCATCTTATTATTTATGTTCTATTTATTTCTCTGTTGTTATGTTTTTTCTTTTTGCCATTTTGAGGGGTTAATTGAATCATTTTAGAATTCTTTTTTATTTCCTCTATTGGCTGTTTAGCTATACTTCTTTTTATTACTTTTCCTTGGCATGCTAGGAATTATGATATGTATCTTTAATTTATAAAAGTATCCTTAGAACTAATATTTTACCAGCTCACACTTCACATTTCACAGTTGCAATTTCACAAATGTAAGAACATCAAATCAGTTTATTCTTATTAACTACCATCGCTCATAGTATTATTATCATATGTTTTATTTCTACATATGTTTTAACTTTACCTTATAATGATGTCATTTTTGCTTTAAAGAGTTTATTTGCCCTTTAAAGAAATTAAGAAAATTTGAAAGTGAGTCTTTTATATTAATTTGTATGCTTACCATTGCTAATGATTTTCATTTCTTCTTGTGGAACCAGATTTCTATCTGATATTATTTCCCTTTGGCTTGATGAATTTCCTTTAATATCTCTTATAGTGCAGGTCTGCCAGCAACAAATTTTCTCAGCTTTCATTTATCTGCAAATGTCTACTTCACCCTCATTTTTAAAGGATATTTCGCTGCATATAGATTCTGGTGTGGTAGGGTTTTTTTGTTTTGTTTTGTTTTGTTTTTCCCTTTTTCTTTCAGCACCTTAAAGATGACCATTCCATTGTCTTCTGGCCTTCATTGTTTCTGACTGAAAATCAACCATCTTTCATATTATCGTTCCACTGTGGGTAAGGTGTTGATTTTCCTAGTGCTTTTAGTATGTTCTTGTCATATCATTGTCTTTGGTTTTCAGCAATTTGATGATCATATCAGTACCTAAGTTTGGTATTCTTGGTATTTACTCTCCTGCAGCTTTTTAGTACAAATGCAGACTACTGATTCCCACTTCAGGCCTACAATATCAGTCTCTGGTAGTATGACAGGATCTAAATTTCTAAACAGTCTCTAAATTATTTTTATGGACACAAAGATTAGAGAATCACTAAACTACAGTAATAAAACTAGTCCCTATCCTGAAGAAATGTAGGATATTTGAAAGAGCTAAGATATATACTCAAAAATCTATAATATTATTAGGATATAAAAATATACCATATCAGTAGGAATGATTTGTTATGAAAGTTCAGAAAAGAACGAAGAAAACTAAGTGGTAAGAAGGAAAGTTTATTGGAAGGCATAGCATTCAAGTAGAATCTTAAAAGATGAGTGCCATTTCAATTTGGAAAACTGGAGGAGAGTTGCCCCAATTTAAGTGGTCACCTCTAAATACTATCATAAATAACAAATTTACCATCCCAAAACTAATCTTGAAACCTCTATTACTGGCATAAAATAGGAGTGAGAGGCAAGTGAAAGGAATATTTTTGACAGACTTAAGTTGAAGGTGTCTGACCTTTCAACCTTTAATACAGAACTGTACCCCCCACATGTGGTAACCCTATTCTGAGCAGAAAAAAAGAGACTTGGAATGTTTTCCAGCCCATTAACAAAATGCAACAGCTTCTTATTTTTTTTAATGCAACATAACCTGGATGTCAGGTTGCATTAAGATGCCTTGGGTTACGATGACATAAATAGTTCAACATAATGAAACATGACACTGAGAAATATGGGCATCGATCTGTGCCACTAATTTAAAGATGCACTGGGTTTTGCCCTGATCTGTTTTTATGTCCTCAACCAGGAAATGACACATGGATAATGGATATTGTCTGCTTTGTTGTTCCCAGGACAGGCTGCACAGAGAGTTTTTCTATTATCGACACAACGTTGGTATTGACAAGAGGGTTATCATATTCTCTTTCTCATGGACTCTTGTCAAATGGTCATAACTTACACAAATAAGAACAGACTCATTCTAAAGGCAGTCTTCAGTAAAATGGATTCCAACTATATCTTCCTCACACTTCAGTCTTCATTAGAGCTGAAATTTAATCTTAATTTATTTACATAATCAGTGAACTATGGCACTATGCTAGGGAAACAGAGATGACTGAAACCCTGACCTTTAGTCTTTTTCAGCATTTATTAAAATATATTTTTCAGAGATGTTACTAGATGTAGCTCTAAAATTTCTGTGTTTTGGAAATACAGAGTTAAACATGTTTTGGTCAAAATTGGAGATTGAATTAATTCAGAATTCCTTGCCTCCCACCCATGCTGGATCAAAACAGTCACAGGGCTTTGCTATGTGAGAACTGGAACTGGGCTGTCTATAAAATCTATGAGTTGCCAACTGTTTTCCTATCCATTAAGAGGAGACTGAAAAATTCTACCCATAAACCTAGGGAAACAGCTTGGAATTATTATTATCCTGAAGTATGGATATGATCACTCATATCCATAGGAGAGGAGGAGGAGATAGAGGTGAGAGAGAGGGAGGGAGAGGGGGGAGGGGAGGGGATGGGGAGGAGGAGGAGGAATAATTACAAGCCATTTGAGAAAATCTCCATGAGAGATAATGAACCCACATAATAGCAATAACAAAAAAGGAAGGATTGCTTTAAATTCCTTAAAAAACTTTAAAATAAGTATATTAAAATGGCTTTATAAATCAAATTTACCAATATTTTCCTTAATGTTAGTTCTTTCTGTTTCATATTTGACAAATTTTTGCCTATTCTAAGGTCATGAATATATTTTCCTATGTTTTATTCTAGAAACATTGTTTTAATTTTCACATTAGTCAAAAGGTAACTCACAGAGTAGAAGAAGATGTTTGCAGTGCATAAAGTGAGAAAAAAGTCCTTTCCAGCATATATTCAAAATACTTACAAATCAATGAGAGAAAGACAATCAAATAAAATAGTAGGAAAAAGACTGGAACAGGTACTTTATCAAAAAGGTAAATGGCCATCAAAATGGCCAAGGAGTATTTGAAAAAATGTTCAACATCATTAGTTATAACCAAATGAAAATTAAAACCACTATGAAATACTAATACACACCCAGCAGAATGTTTAAATTCTAAAAGCTGTCAATAGCAAGGGTTGGCAAGGATGTGAAGAAACTAAAATTCTCATATATATGGATGAGTTGAACTGCAGATTGCTATGCCCACTTTGGAAAACAGTTTAACAGAATCTATTAAGCTAAAAACATGCATACCTTATGACCCAGCAACTCGACATATGGGTAAATACCTAATTTAAGTAGTATTCATGTTCACCTAAAACATATTGCTGTATAAGCTGTTGGCAGAAAGGGAAGCTGAGTAAAAGGTTTATGGGAACTTTCTCTACTCTTTTTGCAACATTTCTATAAGTCTAAAATTATCTCAAATTAAACAAAATTAACCATTAAAAAGAAAGCCAGACACAGTGGCATAAACTCAAGAATTAATTCATATGGAATTCAAAAAGAGTAATCTATGGTATGGAGGACCGTTTAGGGGTATACTAACTCGAAGGGACATAAAGGAGCATTCAGTGATACTGGGAATGTTTTACATCTTTCTCTGGGTGGTGATTATATAGCATACATATAAAGAAAAAGTAAAGGAAGAAACAGGGTCAAATTGTTAAACTTGACACAAACAGAATTCATCTGAACGCAGTGTAAAGCTATAAGGAGATGGGAATTATGAAAGAGAAGGTAAGAGAGATGAAAGACAGAAAGAAAATAAGAAGTTTCATCTATATCTCCTCGAGGTTTCAGGAGGAGAAATTAGAGAATGGGTACTGAAAGATGTAATGTGAATCAGATACATAATTTAACAAAAGATGTCTTCCATTTGAAAGTTTTCAATAGAGTAAATTATATGTACACCTAGTTCCAATGTGATAAAAAAAAATCAGTTATCAGAGAAAAAGAATCTTAAAAATTGTTAGAATTCTCACTATTGGAGTGGGAATTTACAGATCAGCAAGGAAGACTAGAATGATCCACATAGCAATGGAGATATCAGTATAAACTCATGTTTAGCTTAATTAAATTTAGATAGAGATGTTTACATACAGAAATATTTGTCGATATGTGAGTATACACTACATAGAATTCTTTGTTGTCAGCCTAAAAGAAACAACACTCTAGTGGCAACAAATAAACCTACTGTCCATGGGGCGGCCTGGGTGGCTCAGTTGGTTAAGCGACTGCCTTCGGCTCAGGTCATGATCCTGGAGTCCCGGGATCGAGTCCCACATCAGGCTCCCTGCTCGGCGGGGAGTCTGCTTCTCCCTCTGACCCTCCTCCCTCTCATGCTCTCTCTATCTCATTCTCTCTCTCAAATAAATAAGTAAAATCTTTAAAAAAAAAAAAAAACCTACTGTCCAAATCTTAGGTTTTAATACCATTCTCTAATAAAAGGAGTAAGACACTTGGAGAAACGGCTGATTCTAGGATTGGAACATGAACTATAAAGATGACCACTGAACATTTTGTAGTACTGAAAGTCAGGGGAAAAATCACAAACCCCTACAATGATGGGGATATGTCAAAGGAACACAGGGGCCAAATGAAAGAGCTCCTAATGACCAAAGCTGGAAAAATGCAAGCAACCAAATAGTGTGGGATTGTAACACAAAGTATAAAATAAATATTCATGGTTCCATTGGATATAAATAAATTATTGAAAAAATTAATATATGGGGGAGAAGAGACAATTTCCGGTGCAGAAGAATTCCAAGTAATTTATGTAGATACCCTATCTTCAGGGAAGTGGAGCATATAACTCCCCCCCTCTTGACATGTAGGCTGCACGTAGTTGCTTCTTCCTTCCAAAGAGTAAGTGCTGAAAGGAGGTAAAAAAAGATGAACTTTACAGTGGAAAAACTTGACAAACACTACCTCAGCCAGGCAATCAAGGTCAACATCAGCAGTCATAAATCATATTGATAGTATATAACTTTAATATGATGTAATGAAAATGGCACTTAACTCTATGGTTTTCCTCCCCCAAACCCACATCCCCAGTTCTATCATGAGAAAAACATCAGAAAATTTCTAGTAGTGGGGCAGCCTACCAAATATTTGATCAATACTCCTCAAAGCTGTCAAGGTCATCAAAAACAAGAGAAGTCTGAGAAACAGCCACAGTCAAGAAGAACCTAAGGTAACATGACGACTAAATGTAATGTATTATCCTGGATGGTATCTTGGAACAGACAATAGACATTAGGTAAAAACTGTAGAAATCTGAATAGACTTTTGTTAATAGTAGTGTATCAGTGTTGTGTTTATTAATTATTAAAAAAATGTCCCAGATGTTAAAAAATTTTAAAAGAAGCATAATCACCAAAATAAATAAATAAATAAATAAATAAATAAATAAATAAATAAATAAATAAATAAAATCTGTCACTGCTTCTTCCCTCTGCAGTTTGATTTTTAAACTTGTGGCTTTTTAAAATGATGATGATGATGATTGTTATTATTATTTTAATTCCTGAAAAGCAGACAGTACAACAGTTCCTGGAGGAATTTACAATCTACTGCATGTGATTTTTTTTTTTTTTTAATTTTCAGAAGTTGTCCATGGATCAACTATTGATATTCCGTCAAGATAACCATTTCCCGGCTGAGTTCAGGTGCCTGAGGAAGAGCCACACCCTTGAAACAAAACACACCCAGAACAAACCGTACAGTCATCTTTAACCTGGCCTGCTATAGAATGTCTCAGTTCCTTGTCACCTGGCACACAAGCTCCTGTGTTGAGTTGAACTGTAACTGGTTTTATATTGGGAGAGAGCGAATTTGAAACCTTAAAAGAGAAAAAAAGTGGAGCAAAATTGTTTGTTTTGACAAAGACTACAAGATTTAATAAGCAAGCTCTCAGTGAGAGTTCTTAAAAAGACAGACTTGTGTGTATCAGGAGAGGCTGGGGAGGGCGTAGGCCATAACGCACTGATACGCAGGGGTGCACAGCTCCTGCGTTGGCTGGGGGTGGCTGGAGCTCTGCCGCACAATTTCTTCACTTTGGGATCCAGCTGCCCTCACAGCAAAGTCTCTCCAAACTTCTGTTCAGCAGCAACACAGGTAATGTCTGCTCACAGTGTATTGGCCAAACCAAGTCTCACATCCAGGAGGGAGGGAAGTGTAATTCTATGACAGAAGAGGCAATGAATATTTTGAACATTATACCTCTCCCACAGCTTGACAGAAGGAAGGAGTGGCATGCAAGAAAAATATTAAACAACTAATATAGTCAGCATGTTTGTTCATTAAAAAAGGTATTGATGGAAAATAATGAAAAACATAAATTAGGGTTTTAAAATAATGCAGGAAATCTAGGATAATGGAAAGTGGAGGAGACATGAATTTTAAAGATTCTAAGGTCTTTGTACTTTTTGGTATAAGGTCTTTGTACTTTTTGATTAACTTTAAACTACTTTTAGGTAAATGTGCATTTTAGACACAGTAATTAAGAGTAGAAATATAATGGATACCTTCCTATTTCAGTTGAGAAGAAAGGGATATAAAGAAATCATATCTAATTCATTAGAAATAAGAGTAGTAGGTAAAACATAAATTAAAAAAAACATAATAAAGAGAAAATGCAAATGAGATAACAAAAACAAGTTCAAAGATTCAAACCTCAGCTATGACCAAAAGATCTCCTCATTTAACAACATAGACAACAATATTTAAAGTACTGGTAGTTCCTTACCTGGGTCAGGTTGCCTGCAGCCTTTAAGAAACCTTGGAAATTCTGCTCAAGGATTCTCACCAGTAACCCAGACTCCTCCAAATGTCTTAATAAAATGTGCCATTTGTAGTTTTCAGAAATTGTAACATGCATAGGAGCCAGGTGAAGTTTGTCTTACAGAACAATCTTACAAAGGCTTTTAACTCAGTGTTAATGATACCTAAAAGACAGACAAAGGCATGATACCCACTAAAGAACTATGAAATTATGAAACAAACTTAGACGCAACTTTACAGTGGAAAAACTTGACAAACACTAGAACAGAGATTTTAAAAGTATCAGAAATCTTGAAAATAAAAATCTAATTTTTGAAATTTAAAGGAGGCTTAAAACTCTAACTTTGGACATAAGTGAATTTAAAGGCAATTTAGAAAAAGAAGGATTTTTTTTTTAATATGAAAAAAAGTCATTGAGGGGCTCCTGACTTCAGCTTAGGTCATGATCTCAGGGTCCTGGGATTGAGCCCCTGCTTTGGGCTCCACGCTCAGTGGGGAGTCTGCTTCTTCCTCTCCCTCTGCCTCTACCCCTCCCCCTGCTTGTGCTCTGCCTGACTCTCTCAAATAAATAAATAAAATCGTTAAAAAAAAGTCATTGAGGGCCTGGAAATTTGGATAAAAATTTTCTGGGGAAAAATGCAGGGAAGGGTGGAAAAACAGTACTTAAGAAGGTAATACCTGAGAATTATCCAAAATTTAAGACAACCATTATTCTCAAATTTAAAAGAAACTTTTAAAAGAAAGTTAGACTACAGAACTTTGTGTGTGTGTGTATTTATTTACTTAAAATACATACTAGAGATTATAAATATAGTACATATTATAGATTATATATAAATATATTTAAACTCTAAAAGTCCACTCCAAGTCACATAGAAGTAAAACTGTAGAAAACCAAGAATTAAATGACAATTTTAAAAGCTTTGAAAAATGGGCAGATTACTCTTAATGAAAAGAAATGACAATTAGTATGATAAGTAAAATTCCCTTTAGCAAGGGAATTTAGCAAGGTGCTGAGGGAAAATAGCTGTAAACCTAGAACTACAAAATTATGAAGGATTATAAAACCAAAGCATAATTTATTCATTCAGCAAATAATTTTTTTGGTATTTACTATATTTCAACTCCTGTTCCAGGATTTGGAATACAACAGGACACAGAAGAGATAAAGCCCTTTTCCTCAAGCCCCTTTTCTAGTGAGGACAGACAGACATACAATAAATAGGTAATACATCATCACATGTGATAAGAGCTGTGAGAAGAAAAGGCAGGATGAGGGATATAGAGTGGTGTGGGGAAGAGGTCATTTATAAAGAGGCATGAAGGAAGAGTCTCTTTTTTGAGAGAAAGAGAGCACACTCACACACTAGCACCTTGGGGGTGGCGGAGGGGGATGGGGGGCAGGGTGGGTAGGAGGAAAGGGAGAGAGAGAATCCTAAGCAGCCTCCATGCTCAGCATGGAGTCCAATGCAGGGCTCAAGCTCAGGACCCTGAGATCATGACCTGAGCCGAAATTAGGAGTCCAGCACTTAAACTGATTGAGCCACCCAGGCGCCCCATGAAGGAAGCCTCTTATGAGGCCATGACATTTGGTCAAATGCCCAAAGGAATTGAGAAATGATCCACAAAAGTGTCTGAAGCAATGGATTCCAGATAGAGGACTCATGAATGACCTTAGAAGAAGGAGGAGAAAAATGAGACAGAGGAGGCGGAGGAGGAGCAGGAGGAAGAACTCCGCAGATGGTTAGAGGAGATGGAGTTGCCATCTACTGTCATAGAGAAAACCTCAGCAGATGCAGCTTGTGGAAAAAACCCAAGAGGCTGTTTTTGTACAGAAGGTATCTAATAAAACATTCAAAGTGAAAATATCAGGTAGGCAGTTGGATGTAGGAATCTGGAATCCGGGGAAAATGCTGGAACAGGAGATACATATCAGCATCCAGATATTAATTAAAGCCATGTACCAAGTATGGACAGAGACAAAGGGAAACCTCTGAGAACTGAACCCAGGGGGCAATGCCATATTGACAAGGAAGGAAGGTGGGAGACTCTGTAACAGAGGCCAGCGAGGTCGATGAAGAACCCACAGAGAGCAGTATGAAATTTCAGTTTAATAATCATCCACACAAGTTCCTCCAGACATGTGAATTTTGCAGTAGGAAATAGTCATGCACACTGATTTGGGTTGAATGAGGGCACTGATAATGAGGGGCAGAAGGAGCAGGAGAATGGGGCAGGAGAATGGAAAACACATGCTACGCTTGGTAATTGTAATTTTATCCTTACTGCCTCCTTGTCTGTTCTCTGTGCAGCCATTGCAGAGGCAGCTTCGAAGTATCTATTCATATTTAGTAAGTTGGTTTATGCCATGGTAAATCTGGTCATTCTGACACTCATCACACTGGTCACCATATTCATATGCCAAATGACCCCCTTAGTTTGGCTACTATTACCACCTTGGCAGCAGTCAGGTAAGTGGCTATAAGAGAGCTGACTAATCCATTCCAGACAGACACAGAGCTAGGCTCAATACCTTTGCAATTGACTCAATGCAACCACTTTCAGTTCTTAATGGTGTCTAGGATTTGATAAACATGACTATGTTCATTCTTTCTATTCCCTTCATATTTTTTCAGTTAAAATATGTAGATGAATATACTTGCATGTGGTCATTTTAAGATTCATTCAGATTATTGAAATGTTGTTGCTGGAGCCCAACCTCTTCACAAACAGTTGTGGGATTATTCCAAATGTGTTCAAAATGTTTTCTCCTTGGGAAATTCAGAGGTAGAGAAATGTTCTCCATTATGGCCATAGTGTGTCTCAAATGAGTCTCCTAGTCTACATTTCTCTGAAAGCAGGAAGATTACATTGCGTCACTTTGGTGACAGCTGAACATGTTTTGCTTTTAAAATACCAGTCACATCACTTTGGATCTACACAAAAGGGGGATAATCTCAGCAATTTCATTGAGAAAAGTTTCAAAATTATGTTTTTTGCACAACAGCTTTCCTTCGTAAACTTAAAGATGCTTGACAAAGAGTTTACCTAATTATACCAGGCAGTGGGGCCTTGGAAGATCAGAAAAATCTCTAGGAAACAAGAAAGCATATGCTGTTATATTTTGGGCTGAGGATTCAGAAACATGTTAGATGTAGTGGGAATGAAAAGGGGCATTAACTGAAAAGGGGGCAACTATCTAGGTTTCTGAGAGAAATTCTTTGGGTTGTCTCACATTGAATATGCTAAAATACAGATGTAGGGAGAAATGTGAGAAACATCATCTCCACTGCTATGTAGGTTAGTTCCAGAAGTCCTTCCAATCTAGGAGCCTATCATAAATTACATCCCGAAGTATGTCTTAACAGGATGTGTGTGAAAGGTGCAATTCTTAAAATTATTTCTTTAAGCTAAAGATATACTCCTCCTTACAAGTCCCTAATTTTTCTTCAATAATCCAAGATGGCTCTATCATTTAGGCATCCTTTCCTCTTGGAAAAATGACTCCCCCCCCCCCCCCAGTTATATCCAAATAGTTAAAGCGGGACTTCTTGTTTATCTTACCTCCACCAAGACACAAAGAATACTCCCTCATTATCATGTTTGGACAAATGGTGAGGAATTCTATGCTTCTTCCAATTCCCAAATGTTTAAATAGTCTTACGTATCTTAATTCTTTATGAATACACAGCCTACAAACAATTATTCAAACTGGTTAAATGTTTCAGGGGAAGAGTATGTTTTTATAAGAAGTTCAGAGAAGCTTGTCAAACCTGGAATATGAGTCGACTTCATGGTGATCCTCATCTCCAAGCAGAGTACATGTACCAAATGGGGTCAAAATAGAAAATTCTGTGTTCCCTGATTTAATGAGGCTTGAGGTATATTCGAGAAAACAGACCCATAAATAGGTAATTACACTAATGTAGGGGCGAACATCACTATTATGGAAAAGTGTGCTGTGGGAGCACAGTGGTGGCTTGCCTAATTCTCGAGGGGAGGTCAGATATGTTATTGGAGGAAGTTATTGAAAATTGATTTTCAGTAAAACCAACTGTCCAGGAAAAAATGAAGACACTGAACTAATGCTGTGGCTATGATTTTAGAGAAGAGGTGACATACATAGGAGAAAAACAACAGGCCTTGGTAGCAGTTAGGATCATAAAGAGTTTATAATGCCCCAGTTTTCTAGGACCAAAGATAAGGAACACAGGAGGATATGATACTACCACAGGTTATTTTGTTACCTTGGGTGAGGTATCTACCTTGGTTTCCTGACCTGGTAAATGATAGGCCCCAGCTTGGGTACAAAGGTCCTCAGGACATTTAAGCAGAAATGAAACTGAGAAGCCATTTTCAATATCTTAAAACCTAAATGACAAACAGACACTTATCATGATATTGTTTGGGCTAATGTTTTCTCCTTTGGGTTGGAATTATAAAAACACTAAGTGTAAATTTGATTAAGTCATTCTTTTTTTTTAATATTTTATTTATTTGACACAGAGAGAGAGAGAGCAAGAGAGGGGACATAAGCAGGGGGAGTGGGAGAGGGAGAAGCAGGCTTCCCACTGAGCAGGGAGCCTGATGTGGGGCTCGATCCCAGAACCCTGGGATCATGACCTGAGCCGAAGGTAGATGCTTAATGACTGAGACACCCAGGTGCCCCTGATTAATTCATTCTGATCCAAGTTCTGATGGCAATCAGGTACGCTTATGACAAATTAATAGGGAAAACAAATAATTAATGTATACCATACTGTCCAAACATGTAATTCATGGGGTAAATTGTAAAGAGAAAGTTCTTGGAGATGAGGATCACCATGAAGTCGACTCATATTCCAGGTTTGACAAGCTTCTCTGAACTTCTTATAAAAACATACTCTTCCCCTGAAACATTTAACCAGTTTTAATAGGGCAAACTATTTCTGAAAAGGTTTTCTGAGAATTTATTATCAAAGACTAACTGGATGGGGGCACCTGGGTGGCTCAGTCGGTTAAGCATCCGCCTTTGGCTCAGGTCGTGATCCCAGGGTCCTGGGATGGAGTTCCACGTTGGGCTCTCTGCTCAGTGGAAAGCCTGCTTCTCCTTTTCTCTCCCCGCCCCCCACTCATGCTCACACACACTCTATCTCAAATAAATAAATAAAATCTTTAAAAAAATAAAAGGGCTAACTGGATGGATGAGTGTTTGATCTCAAAGCATTATGCCACGACAAGAAGAAATCATGGTAGCATCCATTTGACGTGTTAGAAAATGGATTTGGAAAAAAAGGTTGTCTTCTAAAGAGGGCAGAGTGAAATCATAGTTTCTCCTCTTGAATCATATCCTTTTAAAACAGAAGTGACCTTAGCAATCCTCTAAAATAGCCTCCTCTAAAGGCCCTCTGCTTGAAGACTGGGACAACTGTAGAAATTGCATGGTTTGTCCTGTATTACACATTAGATGATGTGAGGGCAGAGTAGTAGAAGACTGGACACAGAGACGTTCCATAAAATTTTCTCCTTCCTGTAGCTACAATATTAAGAAAAATATGCATGTAGGGCGCCTGGGTGGCTCAGTTGG